CCCTTGTGTTAGCCAACGCTCTCCTGAGAAACAGAACCCATTATATCTGTATCTGTCTCTGTCTCTGTAACTGTATTTGTATCTGTATCTGTATCTATATCTCTGTCTCTATCTATATCTCTGTCTATATCTCTCTCTGATTATGGGAGTTGGTTTATGTACCTTGGGGGGCTGAGAAGTCCCACAGTATGCCATGCACAAGATGGAGAAGCAAGGAAGCTGGTGGTGTAGCAGTCCGAGTCCACAGACCTGAGAATCAGAGAAGCAGGTGGCATAAATCTCAAAGTCTGAAGGCCTAGGAACCTAGAATTCTACTCTCCAAGAGCTGGAGTAAGTGATGTCCCAGCTCCAGAAGACAGAAATAATTCACATTGCCTTTCTGCTCTGTTCAGTCTCTCCACAGATTGATACTTCCCGTTCCTCGTTGATGAGCGAAGAGCCTCCTTTGTGGGTCCACTGATTCAAATGCCAGTTATTTCAGGAAACCTACAGACATAGTCAGAGAAAATGTTTTACTGGCTAAGTGCTTACCCCTTAATCCAGACAGGTTGACACCTAAAATTCATCATCACACCTCTTTATTTACAACTGGGGAAACATTGTTGTTATCTTCCAGGTGTAAAAACATGGTTGTCTGGACTGTCTATGAATTTGTCTCAAAAGTGTCTTTCAATTTAGATAAGTAAGTTTTTATGTCATTTCAAATCTTTTCTGTTTCTTCTTTAAAATATATTTATGCATATACTTGAAAGTGTGATGGGTAGGGAGGAGGTGGGAGACAATGGGTGGGAGAAAGAATCTTACATCCTCAGGGCTCATTCTCCAAATCCTCTCAATGCCGGGGCTGGTTCAACCAAAACTAGGAGCCTGGAACTTAATCCAGCTCTGTTATCATGGAATATCCTTTTCCATCCTTTCACTTTTAGTCTGTATGCATCTTTGTTGGTGGGATGTGCTTCCTGCAGGCAGCAAACAGATGGGTTTTTGTTAATCCATTCAGCCAGTTTGTGTCTTTTAACTGGAGAGCTGAGACCATTTACATGCAAGGTGACTATTGATAAATAACGACTGGGCCCTGCTATTTTTCCATAAATATTCCTACTGTTTACTTCAGATTTCCTTTGTACTTTTACTGAGAGATTTTCTGCTTTGTACTTTTACTGGGAGATTATCAGTTTATAGTGATGACCATGTTTCTGTGTGTAGCACATCCTTAAGCATCTTTTGTAAGGCTGGATGAGTGGTGACAAATTCTTTCCATCTTTGTTATGGAAGGTCTTTATTTCACCTTCATTCCTAAATTAGAGCTTTATAGGGTACAGTATTCTGGGTTGACAATTTTTTTTTTTCTCTTAAGACTTGACTATGTCTCTGTATTCTCTCCTAGCCTATAGGGTTTCTGGTAAATCAGCTGTGAATCTAATTGGAGATCCTCGTGTACATATTAGAATCTTTTCTTTATGTTTTACTGTGGAGTTTGACTACAATGTGTCATGGTGAAGATCTTTTCTGGTCGTGTTTATTAGGAATTCTATGTGCTTCCTGTACTTGGATGTCCCTTTCTCTCTTAAAATTAGGGAAGTTTTCTGCAATGATTTCACTATAAAATCCTTCTAATCCATTCTCTCTTTTCATGCTTTCAGGAACTCCTAAGACCCATAGGTTGGGTCATTTGATAGTATTCCATAAGTCTCTGACACTCTTTTTAAATTTTCTTATTTCTTCTTCTTTTTTCTTGGTCTGACTATAAAATTTTTGGAGAATTTTCTTCTAATTCTTTCTTCTGCCTCACCTGGTCTGTTGTTAATGCTTTACACTGTATTTTTTATTTATTCTATCAAATTCTTCATTTCCAATATTTCATTTTGGTTTTTCTTTATAATCTCTATTTTGTGGCAAAAATTTTCATTCATGTCATGCATAGATTTCTTTAGTTCATGAATTTGCTTCTGATTACTTTTAAGTAATCCTAAGATCAGTTAAGATCAGTTTTATGAATTTCGTTTCTGGTATTCATTAGTCTCTTCATCTTCACATTCTAGTGTTGAAGTGTTGTGTTCTTTTGGGGGCATCATGTTGTCTACCTTATTCTTGTTTCTTAAATTGCTGCATTTATTATTATGCATTTGTGGTGATACTTGTTTTTTATCTCCTGTGATGGCTTTTATCTTTGAACTATGCCTCTGTGGCTTGATGGAGTGTCTGCTCTTTCAGTGAATACCCGGAGACATGGTGTGATGTGGTCAGTGAGTTGTGTTGGGTGCTTCAGGTGAGGGGAGTATCCAAGGTGACACCCAAGTTGGGCATGATAAATCTCTCTCTCTCTTTTTTTAATCAGATGGGAGATTTCTTCAGCTCTGTTGGCATAGTCTCATACTCACCCCCTCTCCTCAAAGGAGACCAATGCCTGGGCACTAGCCCCAGTGGGTACAGTTTTCATCTGCACTGCCACCAGAACCACAAAAAGGATCTGTGCAGTCCTCAGTGTGAACACAGGTCCTGCAGCAATGACCCTCACCATGGAATCAGGGAGCCTACAGCATGTGGAGCCGCCCACAGTGACTGCCCAAAGTCCCAGCCTCACCCTGCACCCTCCCATGCAGCCACAGTGTTTTCACAGTCCCAACACACAAGGCTCCCACAGTCATGAACTCCAAGCCCCCTGTCAATTCTCCCAACCAGACTCAGGCGTCTCCTCTCATTGGCTTGTCGCTGGGGTGTGTACAAGAGCTGACACAGCTGTTGCATATGTCCAATATGGCGCCTTCCCTCTCTCGGCTAGTTACAGGATGCTGTGCTGGGTGGTCAGGGAGGGAGAAATGTGCCCCCTTTTTATCTCCTCTAGGTTGGCAGGTTCACTGTCCCCTGCAGGGCTCCAAGCTAGAGTCACACCAGGCTCTTCCCTCAGTTTTATCACCAGTGGCTTGGGCTACTGCAATCTGGTCTCACCTCTCTCTCCAACGCTGGTGCTGAGGCTCTCGGCTGCTGGCATCCTGAGTTGTGCACGTCCACACCCTCCGTGTAGGTCCACAGTGTCCCTCTCAGTTGCATGGAGTTTCCTCTGCTGTTTTCTCTCTAACTCTTCTCTGAGACGGCTTTGTCTCCATTTTTTTTTTTTAATATCTTCCCCCAGGCTAGAGCAGTAAGCTCCCTCCTTATTCTGCCATCTTGACTCCTCCAATCTCTGTTGCAATTTTGCTTTGTAATAGGATTGTGTGGCGGGTGTATGTATATTGTGTGTGTATGTGTGTGTTATTTTAAGTTCTGGCCTGAACGGCAAGATACACTAGTTAAACTGGTTCCCAAGTACAACTATATCATGAGTTGGGTGTTTATGCAACATATACCTTTCCCAAAATTGTCTTTAGTAGTTAACTTTGCAATGACAGGGGTCATGGATTAAATTATGTCTTCCATCATGATTTTTATTAGATAAAAATGTTTCTTTTTCCAAAGCTTTCTCCCTTTTATTTTATTGAAGTATAATAAACTATATATATATTCAAAATTTACAGTTTTGACACGTGTGCTTACATTTAAAGTCATCAGCATAGTAAAAATAGCAAACATTTCTGTCACTGCAGAAGTTTCCTTAAAATTTATGTCTCTTTCCTCACCAACCCAGGAAACAGTGACTTGTTTCCTATCACCAGAGATTGCATTTATTTATTCAATTATTTGAGCCATCACTGCTGCCTCCTAGGGTCTGTCATAGCAGGAAGCTGGAAACAGAAGCCAGAGGTATGCGTAAAACCCTTCCACTCTGATTCTGGACTTATGTGTCTTTTTAAATTTTTATTTATAGTGAGAGAGAGAGACAGAGAGAAAGGTCTTCCTTCCATTGGTTCACCCTCCAAATGGACGCTACGGCCAGAGCTACGCCGATCTGAAGCCAGAAGCCAGGTGCTTCTTCCGGGTCTCCCATGCGGGTACAGGGGCCCAAGGACTTGGGCCATCCTCCATTGCCCTCCTGGGCCACAGCAGAGAGCTGGACCGAAAGAAGAGCAACCGGGACTAGAACCCAGCGCCCATATGGGTTGCCGGCACCGCAGGTGGAGAATTAACCAAGTGAGCCATGACACCGGCCTTGAGGACTTAAGTGTCTTAATCAGTAGCTTAACCTCTGGGCCAAACACTGTCCTGATGTGCATCATATTTTTAATTTGTCAGCTGTGCTATCAAGTGAAGAGACATGGACATGAGTCAAAAAAACATGGACCTCACTATGTCTCCACTGATTTCAAGATGCACCAGATTTAAAATGGGATTTTTTTTTGCACCAAGACTACCTCTGTCACATAGTAGTCTTTGGGAAACCTTAAATTTCTTTTTACATTGGTATAAGTTAGATCATATAAGGATAAAAAATAGTTTAAAATTTAGTTTTTAAAGTTATAATCTCATGGGCTCTTGTGAAGACTAATTGAGATAGAGTATTACCCAAAGTCTTTTTGTAATAACAAAATTTATTATTAACACTTAAATCTGTTTATGTGTGAAAATTGGTTATCACCAAACTGCAATATTATAAACTCTTAGATTTTTCCTGTGACTGCTGAAGGATGCCAGTTGGAATCAATAAATCATCACCACTTGGAAGCTACTTCAAAAGGTTGTAGAAAAGCTAAATTAAATGATAAATTTACTGTGGCCAGCATTGTGGTGCAGCCAGGAAAGCCACCACCTGTGACACCAGCATCCCAGATAGGCACTCGTTAGAGACGTGGCTGCTCTACTTCTGATCCAGCTCCCTGCTAACGCTCCTGGGAAAGCAGCAGAAGATGACGTTTACCCCTCCGTTTCAGATTGCCTGTGGATTGTGTTCATTTTCTTCATCAAAATCAGTCCTCTTCTCATTAAGGCACAACAAGAATTTTAGAAAATAATTAGACACTTAAATCTATTGTGGTTTACCTAAATGACTTCATAGGATAATGCAGCACATGTATTGTCATTGCATTGATCTTTCTTGTGTTTAAATACAAAAAGTATTTGTAAGCCTCTCTGTGCATGCGCTAAAAACCAGTTCTTACTGGTCTATCACTCTGTAACAGTTTTAATGTGTTAGGAAAGAGATTCCAATCCATTAGGTAATTGTGTATGTACATATTAGGTGAGAGTATGTGTGGGTATTATATATGTGTGTGTGAGTGTATAAGAGTGTGAGTGTGAGCATGTATGTGAGTTTGTTGCTGTGTGTGAGTGTGTAAGAGTGGCGTGTGTGTGGGAGTGAGCATGTATGTGAGTGTGAGAGTCCGTGGGTATTTGAGTGTATAAAATCATGGCAGGATTCTAGAAGCAGCCTCGATTGTGGAAAGAATCATGGATTGGAAACCAGAAGATTAAGGTATATGCTTTACTGTGTCAACTTGAAAGCATCTTTGAACTTTTATTGCCTTTGTCTTTGAAACCTGTGGAATGCATATTTACCAACTACCTCCTATGTGCCAGTAATACTTTTCTCACCAGAATCACTGAATTGTTAAAACTGTAAATTGTTAAAACTGTCAGCAAGCTTGGTGACTGTTTTCTAAGTGGCATCATTACATGGCAAGTATGAATAGTGATGCAAATTTTGTGCTACAAAATTGAAAGGCACAAATGCACGTGGAGATGCATCCCACATGTAGAGGAATTTGAAGGAGGTAATGAAGTAGGATTTGGTTGGAGGAGAGGAAGCTGAGCCAGGTCAGCAGGTGGCTGGACCCTGGATGAGCAGAAACATGGATAGAATAGCACCCAAAGCGCAGGTCCCTCTCATTCTCCTTGGCAAGCAGGATTCATATTTTCTAGAAACCAAATTGCTTATTGATTCTCTGGGGACTGCTCCTGTAATTCTAGCAGTGATTTGATGATGGGTTAAGTTTTCCGTTTTGTTTCCTAGCTTGGTTGCTGATGTTTTCTTCAATAGTGTCATGGTCTTTAGAGTGAATGTGTCATTTGGTCATGAAGTGGAGGCTTGCACCCCTGTACATTTCTTGGCTTCCCATCAGCCTTTGATTGTTTCTAAAAACCATTTTCTAGGCCTGTAATACATCCATGCCACTTGTCTACAGAGTTTCAAAATAGTGAAGTGGATCTAAACATTGTTGTGAACAACTGAGCAGTAAGTACACTTGCAAAGCTGTAGCAGCTGTTTGCCTCTTTGCCTTGCAATCTGGTGCCTTTACTGGAATCCTTTATTCTAGTACATAATCTACTTAAAAAGTTTCCATTTATGTCACAAGTAATAAACTTGATGGCTTTTTGCAACATCCAAACAGTCTCCTTAAGCTGCCTTTTTAGATCACAGCACTCCTTCTCCAAAGAAAGAATCAGAAAGAAATTCCTTCAGGTTTCTGGTGGAGTGCTCGGTCTTCAGTACGATGGTTCAAAATGTAATTGGCAAGTTGTGTCTCCATCGCATTCATAGTCTACAGTATAATTTTTAAAAAAGCATGATAGTAAGGTAAATCCTATACTTAAGGTTTAAAATATGTATGCTATGTATATAAAATAGGTTCTAAGATAAACACACAACTATACACTCACATACAGTCTTGAAGGAAAGAGTTCTCTGAGAATGTTTATGCCTGTGGTTTTAAGTTTAATGGCTCCATTATACATCTACAGAGATCAAGCCATCAGGACTATGTCAACGGTCCAGCCTTACTCCCATCTCAGTTATTTTTCTCTTTCTCTTTGCTTGCTTGCTCCGGCAACTCCCCACCCTGCTCCAGTCTGCACCCACATCTTCAAGCACTCATTTGCATCTACTCAGACCTCACAGAAGACCTATTCCCTTTTTCATTTCAGCAGCGATTGGATTTTAAGCATCCCTCTGTTGTTCCTGTTCGAAAGTGAAAGCAGGAACCAAAGAACAAAATACACTGGTAGCTACGTAAGTATAAACAATCAGTTTCACCAATGTCAGGAAAAATTATTGGACTAGTTTAAAAACTGAGTGCATGTCTATGCTATTTACAAGAAATGTACCTGAAACATATGGAATTCTGACCATGCGTACCAGGAAACACATGCCAAAACATGGTCCTGGAAGCAGTATTTCTTATAGAAACCAACAAACAAGAGCAAGAACAGACCTTATGTTTGTTTTGTTTTAATTTTTAAAACTCTATCTGAAGGGCCAGCATTGTGATATAGCAGGTAAAGCCACTGCCTGCGACACGGGTATCCCGTGTGGACAACTGTTCAAGTCCTGGCTGCTCTGCTTCTGATCCAGCTCCCTGCTGATGTGCCTGGGAGAGCAGCAGTCTATGTGCTTGGTTCCCTGCACCCACGTGGGAGACCAGGAGGAGGCTCCTGGCTCCTGGCTTCCGATCAGCCCCTCTCCGGCCTTTGTGGCCAATTGGCGTGTGAACCAGCAGTTGAGGAATCTCCATCTTTGTCTGTTCCTGTGTCTCTCTGTAAACTCTGTCTCTCAAATAAATAAATAAATTTTTAGAAAGAAAATTTATTTAAAAGAGAGAGTGTGAAAGAGAGAGAGAGAGAAGAGAGAGAGAGAGGAGAGAGAGAGAGAAAATCTCTTTCTGCTAGCTCACTTCCCAAATGTCTGCAATGGGTGGAACTCGGTCAAACTGAAGCCAGGAATTTGGAACTGAAGCTGGATCTCTCATGTGGGTGACAGGGACTCAATTTGAGCCATTATCTGTTGCCTGCCACGCTGTACATTTGCAGGAAACTGGAGTGGGTTGCAGAGTCAGTACTTGAGACCAGAAACTCTGGTGTGGGCTGCAGACATTCTGAGCAACATGTTAACCAGTGCACTGTACCAAACACCTACCCTAATCACTATGGTTTTAATAAGAAAATATTTAAATACATTGTGATGTATTAGTTGATATTATATAAATGAATAAAATCCATATATATCAACATGGATGAATCTCAAAATCATCTTGTTGAATACAGCATGTTTATACATTTTGAACATATGATATTTAATTACAATATATGTAATAAAGCCTATTAAAAGTTGTCGCTCCCCGTCTTCGTGGAGGAACGACACAGGACCCTGCGCTGTTCTTTCGTCTGCTCGGCCGTCCCCGGGTTTGCTGCTGGTTCTTCCCGGGTTGGCTACTGTCCCTTCCACCTCCGTGGAAGGGCGGTTCCCCCTGCCACATTCCCCACTTCCGCGGGGGAGCAGCACACAGCCGGCCGGCTCTCTCGGGGGCTGCTCAGATGTTCCTTCAGATAGATGTTCCCCTTAGATGTTCCTGGTGCATGTTGTCTCTCTCCTCCTTTATAGTCCTCTTCCACCAATCCCAACTCTGCTACCCACACGCCGAGTATGCTGCTCTCCTCCAATCAGGAGCAGGTCCTACAGTTTATTGGTTGAACCGGAGGCAGCTGCGTAGAAGCTGTTTTCTCCTCTCCCAGCGCCATATTGTGGGAGAGCAGATGCATAGAATAAGTCTTAATTCCAGTAACTTAGTCTAGTCCGAGTTGCTCCCAGTTGCTCCCCACAAAAGTATAGAATCATTATCTAGAATATTCAGTGTGGTAATTACCAGGACTGGTTTCATGGGAATTTAATCTGTGACACAGAGTTCTACTTTGGAAGGGTCCTTAACATGGTTTAATGCTCTGTTGTCATCATCTTAAAACATTTTTTTTAATTTAACAAGATGTATTTTTTTTAATTTAAAAGAGAAATATCTCATCTGCTGGTTCACTTCCCTCAAGGCTGAAGCAACCAGGACAGGGCCAGGCTGCAGCCAAGAGCCAGGAATTTGATCCAAGTCTCTCACATGGGTGGTAGGGATCCAATTACTTGAGCCATCACCTGTTGTCTCCCAGGATGCACATTAGCAGAAAATTCAAATTGGGAGAGGAGCCAAGACTCAAACCTAGACACTCCAAGTTGCATTTTAACTACTATGCCAGATGCCCACCCTTGAGAGTCTTAGTAATTCCGAACAAGGGACCTTCATTTTGCACTGGGTCCTTCAAAGAATGTAACCCATCGCAGGGGCTCCAGGCGCAGACAACTAGAGGATGACTGGAGTTGTACAGACAACATTCTTTCTGGGCATTTGTTGTATCTACTTTACATATACCACTGTATGTAGTTTGTATGTGCGCAACATTTCATTTTACATATTAATTTTAAAATGTTAATTCCACAGTCACTGGTTTATAGTACTCATCAGGAATACTGAAGCAAAAGAGTAACATAGTCACCGCCTAGGTAGAACTGAATATCCCATTTATATGGTTGTGATGTGGAAATTGGTCTGAGTTGTTGAGTAATTGTACTTAAGCATATGCTTTCAACTCCATAAACCCCGGTGAGTAATATCAATTTGAGGCAAAGAAGAGCCCTCTGTATTTCTTTACACAGTTGGATATCCAGCTGCTCTTGTTTTCATATTGCAAGTGCATTTCCTTTGCAAACTTGTTAGCTCCTGCATTATTTGGAGGCTATGCCTTTTAAAGGCAGGCAGCATTTAAAAACTACAGGGCAGAACCTATGAGAGTCTATTGCTGTCACCAGCAGCTGGTGCACCCAGCGTCCTCTAAGGACATGAGCTGCCCTCTAGCCACTGTGAATATTGTGTGAACACAGCGCATCTGCGACAAGCAGTGGCTCACTGCGCTTGTGTGACTGTAGAGGCCAACATGCCATTCCTGCGTGGTTTGGCAGCCTCAAAATCCACACATAGAGACAGCTGGTGAAAGAGTTTGCTAAGTGCTGTACCCTCTTTTCATCCAACCACCTGGATGATTCCAAGAGGCACAATGTGGCCATCACTCTTTAATGCATTACTTGGTAGCCAGCTTTGGCCAAAACTTCTTGGGCATTTTCAAAGGCAAGACAGCACGGTGTTACATTTTTCTGCACAGCTCCCAAAGAACTCTAGTTGCTTCAGCTAAATTGTATCCCTTAAGTGCCTCTTAACTCTGACCTTCAATCCCCTTTTACTATCCTGTCATTACGCGTCTGCTTTCTCAAGTGCAGCGAAATGCAGGCGCTCTGATATTATGCATTCATTCCTTCAGTCACTCAATAAACGTCTATAGAACATCTTAAATCTTAATTCTATGTACACATCTTGAAGTATTGCTCCATTCTGCCTCATTCTTCCTTTTAGTTTTTCAAGTGGCTGTGATTTATTCTTTTTGACAATGTTTTCCAAGCTCTGATCATTGCCTTTCCACCAATATAGTAATGGTCTTTCCTATTTTGGGGTGGATCATGTTATCTCTTGTGCTGCTCAGAGGTTCCGTGAACAGGAATTAAGATGAATACAACTTTTGAGAAAAAAATTCACATATAATGCAAACTTCACCTGAACTTGTTGCTTGCAATTTCAGACCCAACTATTAAAACACAAAAGATGATGTCTGTTACAAAGTATTGGATCCTTTTTGCTGAAAATACAAGTTGCCTTGCAGAATGTCTGACAGATTGCTTAGCTAACTATGACTGTTGTGCAACCATTTAGTCAACCTAGGTGAATCTAGATAATCTTAGACAGAAGAATATTGCTTTGAATGAAGCTGACAATTAGTTGAGCTCTTAGTATGGGCAAAGCCTATGGAATATACAGAAAGATGCAAGATAGTCTTGCTTAAGTATCATTGTAGAGATCTATACATACAAAAGGAAATTAATCATACAAAGTGAAGTGGCCTGTGAGTCATTTGGGTGTTAACTGAAAAAGGAAAGCAGAAAAAAGTGATTATTGATAGCTGGGAACATCAGAGAAAAATAAGGGCAAAGAGCATTTCCCCATATTTAATTAGACTCTCTTCAGATCCAGGTTGACTTACTACTTCTGTAGTTGGCTAACTCCATGGAGAGAAACCACTCCATTACTTCCTTATTACTTGAGAGATTTATTTTGAATTATTGTTGGATATTTTCCTGTTTTTTTGTGTCTTTTTAAATTGAATGCACATGTGCCAAATTTAATTGCTTCATTGTTTCTTTGGAAGATTGTGTCATTGAAATTTCCTCTTCTAGGAATTAAATCCTTATTTTTTGGGTTATGTGTTCCTTTTATATTGTGAATAATAACTTTGATTCATTGCAAGTAATTATAGCTACTGTAGGAAAGAGGCTTTAATAGAAATCAGGACATTATAGTGAGAAGGGTCACATCTAAGAATCAGAAGAGCCTGAGTTTGAATCTTGTGCCATGTGACTTTATTCAATTTATTTAGTATCTGAGCCTTTCTTTATGTCTACATGCTTTATTTACTATTTATTTCGTAGGTTTGATGATAGGATTACATGGATGGCAAATTTCCACCTCTTTTATTCATAGAAGGGGCCTTAAAATGCCAGCAACTATTATTATTATTTGTTTTTTTCTAATGATCCCAATGCATTTCGTATATGCGAGAGAATTTCCATTAAGTACACAAAAGTACTCTGTATTTTTAGGGAAATATTTTAAGGTCACTGGATTAAAGTAAGGGCTCTTTAAAGTTAGTGCTATCAGGAATTGAATTGACTGGAGAACATCATCTCCTTTTCTCGTTGTTTAGATTTTATGGCACTTCATGGGTGGCCTGACAGTTGAGTGGTTGTCTTTTTTTTTTTTTTTTTTCAGAAGAGTATCTATAATTCCTGAAATGGGTATTTTGCCAATTTTCACATGCTTTGTTTTCTCTTCTCAAATCAACATGTCTCTGTATTTATACAATTCAGAGTTCAAACAACATTCATTACACTGCTGTCACTGTACATAAAGACAATCAAAACTTGTTATGGTCAAATCTAAAACACGATTCAGCTAAGTGAACAGATGTGTTGCATGAAGAAAACCTCACCATGTTGTTCCTATTTATCGTCTGGGTTGTTTGGAGGGTGTGCCTAGTGCTGTGGGGTGGGGGATAAAGGGTCATGCCAGTTGCATTTATTTAATGAAA